AGGCTGTTGTTCGAACAGAACTAATGGATACTGCATGGTTTAAAATTAGGAAGGGAGTGAGTCAGCTTTATATTCTTTCACCATACTTATTTAATCTGTATACTGAGCAAGTAAATCTGAGAAGCTGGACTATATGAAGAAGAATGTGGAATCAGGATTGGAGGAAGACTTGTTAACAACCTGCGATATGCAGATGACACAACTTTGCTTGCTGAAAGTGAGGATGACTTGAAGCACTTACCGAAGAAGATTAAAGACTACAGTCTGCAGTATGGATTACACCTCAGCCTGAACAAAATGGAAATCCTCACAACTGACCAATAAGCAGCATCACTATAAAAGGAGAGAAGACTGAAGTTGTCAAAGATTTCGTATTACTTGGTTCCACAATCAACACCAATGGAAGCAGCAGTCAAGAAATCAGATGTCATATTGCACTGGGAAAATCTGCTGCAAAAGACTTCTTTAAAGTTCTGAAGAGCAAAGATGTCTCTTTGAAGATTAAGGTGTACCTAACCCAAGCCATGATATTTTCAATTGCCTCATATGCATGTGAGAGTTGGACAATTAGTAAGGAAGACCGAAGAAGAGTTGATGCTATTGAGTTGTGGTGCTGGCAAAGACTACGTAAAGTACCATGGACTACCAAAATAATGAACAAATCTATCCTGGAAGAAGTACAGCTGGAATGCTCCTTGAAGGCAAGAATGGCCAAACTTTGTCTGATCTACTTTGGTCATGTTGTCAGAAGGGACCATTCCCTGGAGAAGGGTATCATGCTTGGTAAAGTGGAAGGTCAGTGAAAAAGGGGAAGGCCCTCAATGAGATGGATTGACACAGTGGCTGCAATGGTGGGCTCAGGTATAGCAAGGATTGTGAGGCTGGCTCAGGATTGGCCAATGTTTCATTCTGCTGTACACAGAGTTGCTATGAGTTGGAGCCAAATTAGCAGCCCCTAACAACAACAACAACAACTTTTCAGAAGCAGATTGTCAAGGCTTGCTTTCAAGAGACCCCTGGATGGACTAGAACTGTCAACTTTCCAGTTAGCGGCTGAGCGGCTTAACAGTTAGCACCACTCAGGAAGTTTACAGAACAAAACTACTGCAAATAACAAAAATCAACTGTATATAATAATGTATTTAGCCAATCCCCATCCTTAGACATACAGAAGTAATTTCTTTAAAGAGTGATGCTTCATGACTTGATATTGAGAAGTCTGAGCACCCTCACCTCACCTGACATTGTTGTGGAGCTGTTTGATATTGTGGCATCGTACACTTGTGGATATGCTTCTCCTGCTCCCTCCAAGGACCCTCTGGCACAGGCTTTGGCTTCTTGAAGTTCTAGGCTCTCCCTTTTACCAGTCTTGTGCCTTGGGATAAAGGCTTCCTGACTGAGCCCAGGCTCACCCTTAGTAAACAAAGAATTAGAATTGTAGTTGCTCAGGGGTGTTGTGAAGGGTGGGTTTAGTTACCTATGTAAAATGTCTGGTTTGTACTCCTCACGCACCAGAACCCTATGGAAGGCCAGGCCTCACCTTCAGAGTTTCTGATTCAACAGGTCTGGGGTAGGGCTGGAGAATTTGCATTTCTATCAAGGTACCAGATGACCTAGACCTTGCTTTGGTGCAGGGACCATGCTTGGAGAACCACTGGTGTAGAACACAGGGAATACCCCACACCAGAGAAAAAGTCTGCCTCCCACAGACAGAGTTTGAGGCCTAGGAATTCACCTGGGAACCTGGCAAAGCAGAGCAAGCCTAAGGAGAGTATGTGTCTTGTGGGCTCTGGTCAACTACCTTGGGTCCTGATCATATCCAGGACTCTGCTCCCTGCTGAGGTCAGCAGCTGTGTTAAGGGCCAAGAGAGTAGTGAACTTTGTATGACAGGACTACTCAGCCTCATGGGGGCAGGGCCCAGGGAGTGCTGGAAGGTGGCAGCAGGGTTTCAGAGGGGAGACCTTCACTTCTCCTTCCTTCCCAGAAGTGTCCATGGAAAACTCAGCATTTGGGAATTGTTTTGGAACCTGGGGAGGAAAGCTTGAAAGTGAAAAGGATCCCTGAACCTGATTTTTTGTGAGAGCCGGGGGTGGAATAGACTTGAGGTTCCTGACACTAAAGCTGCAGGTCATGGCTTTGATCATTCCCACTATAGCACTGTAGCACTGCTTCAGGGCTTCTCCATTACCAACTAACTCAGCCAGGATGGAGGTGCTCTAACCCACTTTCCCCTCACCCTAGAAGCCTGGGGGATGCAGAACCTGAGCTGAGGTGATCTAGACCTCAGTGAGCCCCCAGCCTCCCTATGCCTCTCTTCTGAGCACAGGTGGAGTTGCTGATCTGTTTTGCTTTCTCTCCTTCTCCTAGGGGCACAGTGATTGGCTCTTGGGAAAAGTGAACATTGGCTCCTTTTGCCCCTGTGTCTTCACCCTCCTTTCTCCTCCACCCTCTTCTTACTGTGTTGCCAGGCCCTGCCTTAGGGGGTTAATATCTCTGGTGGTGGAGTGAAGGATGGGTCTCCAATAAAGACACTATAAGGGTCAGTGGTCTTTTGAAGGTGGGTCAGTACTTCTGGGCTGGTACCCTATCACTTTCTAGGGACCTGCCCAGCCTGTGTGTAAGCCCAGTTCTGGCTCAGGCACCTGGGATTAACTCAGATCCCACTCTAGGGGCCAAGATGAGACTGGGCCTGCATGGTTACTGGAGTGAGGCTGGATGGATCTTGTTTTACCAGCACCTGGAACAGGGCACAGTCTAGAGAAACATGCTCCCCACCCCACCATCTTTATGAAATGATTGCACCAGCCTCTGCTTTGTGCAGAGATCCTTTGGGTTGTATCTGCATATAGATAAGCAAGTCTTGCTCTACAGGGACCCCTGATTCTGCTCACATGTCCTTCTCAAGATGTCTTTCTTCCTTCCCTAGGCTCCTAGGGCTTGGCCTTCTTTCCTGCCTTCTCCCATAGGGGCTGACATACCTGCACATTCCCTACTAGGCCCTCAGCCCACCTGGCCACATATCTCCACTCTCAAGACCCACCCAGGACTGTGGGTCACTACAGCCAGTTGTTGAAGATGCAGATCTGCTTTGGGACAAGAGTTGATGGGGAGCACAGGCTGGGTCCAAGGACAGAGCCACTCTGAACTCTGCAAACTGTTACTACAAAGGCCATGGGGCCTCTTTGAATTGTTAACAAATTGCCCTGATTTGTTAGTGTTGGCAATTAATTAAAAAAACATTTTCAGGCCACGTGCAGGTCAAACTCCACAACATTGTGGGCTGGATTTGACTGGCTGGGGCTGGTGGGGAACTCTCAGTGAGCACTTAGCATTTACCAGGTAACATTCAGTACTGTCTGTATAGTCAAGTGACCATCACTGTCAACACATTTCACAAGTTGGGAAGCAGGTTGTAGCAGTACATCGACAGGGATCTGCTAAAAATTCAAGCTGGATTCAGAAGATGTGCAATGAGGGATATCATTGCTCATGTCAGATGGATCTTGGTTGAAAGCAGGGAATACCAGAAAGATGTTTACTTTTATTTTATGACTATGGAAAGGCATTTGACTGTGTGGATGACAACAAACTAAGGATAACATTGCATAATAATAAGTGTTCTGAGAATTCCAGAACACTTAGTTGTCACAGACCTTGTCACAGACCAAGAGACCATCATGTGAACAGACAAGGGATAGTACATAGTTTTAAATCAGGAAGGATATACATCAGGGTTGTATCTTTTCACTACACTTATTCAATCTATATGTTAAGCAAATAATCTGAGAAGCTGGGCTATATGAAGAACGTGGTGTAAGGATTAAAGGAAAGTCCATTAAAAACTTGCATATGCAGATGACACAACTTTGCTTGATAAAAATGAAGAGAACTTGAAGCACTTACTAATGAAGATCAAAGACTACAGCCCTCAGTATGGACTACACCTCAGCATAAAGAAAACCAAAATCCTCACAACTGGACCAAAAAGCAACATCATGAAAAAGAAAAGATTGAAGTTGTCAAAGATTTAATTTTACTTGGATCCACAATCAACACCCATGGAAGCAGCAGTCAAATAGTCAGACATCATGTAAGACTGGGCAAATGTGCTTCAAAAGACCTCTTTAAAGTATTAAAAAGCAAAGATGTCACTTTGAGTAGTAAGGTGCACCTGATTCAAGCCATGGTATTTTTAATTGCCTCATATGCATGTGAAGTTCCTTGTTAGGAAGACCAAAGAAGAATTGATGCCTTTGAGTTATGGTATTGGCAAATAATATTGAATATACCATAGACTGCCAAAAGAATGAACAAATCTGTCTTGGAAAAGTACAGCAAAAATACTCTTTGGAAGTGAAGATGGTGAAACTTAAGCTTTCAACATGTTATTAGAGGGACCAATCCCTGGAGAGAGACATAATGCTTGGTAAAGTAGGGGAAAAAGAGGAAAACCTTCAATGAGATAGATTGACACAGTGGCTGCAACAATGAGCTCAAACATAGCAATCGTTGTGAGGATGGTGCAGGATCAGGCAGTGTTTCATTCTGTTGTACGTCACCAGGCCTTTCTTCTGAAGAGCCTCTGAGTGGATTCAAACCTTCAACATTTTGGTTAGCAGCTGAGCATGTTAACCATTTTCTCCACCCAGGGACTACACTTATAATAATAGCTGTTTCTAGTGAGCATTTTTTATATGTGTGGTGTATTCATGCTTTCTTGTTCAATCTTCCAACAGCTCTGAAAAATGCATATATTAATCTTTATGAAGGGGTCAGGAAGCTCAGTAGGACAGAATGGCTTTCCCAAGATCCAGAAGATTCTGTGTGGTGGGCAAGAACCAATACTTGAACACTTGGATCCATCTGAGCCAGGCACCACAGGACATCGGGGATGTGGGGAAACTGGAGCAGGAGTCCTGTTGTAGCCTTTTGACGGGGGCTCAGTCCATGGTGGCAGGATGAGCAGGGTGGGCCCAGCTGGAGTAGCATCATGGAGAGCTCATTGGGTTTGGTCCCGTGTGCTGGGCAGACCCTCTCTCCTCTGCCAAGAGAGGCACTGCCATATCCCCCTGTGGACCACCTCTATCCCCAGGGCGTAGTGGCAGGCATTAATGATGGGCACTGCTTTGGCAATGAGGGCAGGCACCTGTTGTGGCAGAAAAGTCCAAGAAAGTGTCCTTTAAAGCTTCTCCTATCCCTGGCCCCTCCAGTGAACCCAACCTCTCTACCCTGCAGAGCGCAGTCCTCTGTCCATTGTTTGATTCTGCATCCTTAAAGCTGTCCCTACCAGTGGGCAGGCAAGGCCTGGCTCCTGGGATCCCATGGAAATGGACTGCTTCTGGAACCCACATCCTTGCTGGCCACAGACACCAATTTCAGCCTCTGGTCCCCAAGGATGTGTATTTGCTGTCTGGCTGTCTGTTCCTGTCATTTCAAAGGATGCCCAGGCAATGTCAGCCAGCAAGCTGGGGTGGCCCAGGGCAGGTGGCGGGAGGTGGGGGGAGCAAATTTTCTGTGTGCTATTACTGTTTAAAGTAAGGAAGACTGACCTGGAAGACATAAGCCAGAAGAAGAGGTGGAATGAGACAGAGAGAGAAGGAACTAGAGGGTGTTGGATATTTCCATACCATCTGCAGTCTGGGGGAGATGGAGGTCACATCTGTGGAGGCTGCATACAGGTACAGGAAGGCATAAGGACCCCAGCCCAGCAGCAGAATCCTGGCTGGCAGAGTGGTGTTCACCTGAGGAGAAATGATCCTGGGATGCCTTACCCTACTCCAGGGTAGGCAGCCTGGCACAACTTGGGAAATTGGGTCAGCCTTCAGCAGTGCTGGGCAGCAGGGCTGGGCTGCAGGAAAGTGGTGAGCACAGGGGAACTGGAGGCCAGATGGACCTTGTCCTGGAATTGGGATCAGGGTTCTAGAACCTCTATTATTTAAGTATGGTGACTCTAAGCCTGTCATTTGTGCTTACTTGAACTCAGCTGCCTATAAATGGCCTGATAACACATGTGTTATCAGTAAAATGGCCTGATAACACATGACTTACCTAGAGGCAGGACTGGACCAGGTAATGAGATTCCTTTGGGTGTAATGAGGCATCTTAGTTTCCATGACCATGTGGTTTTGTGAACAAGGTCCCCAGGCTGAGCTGCCTTCAGACCTCAGACCTCAGTCCCAGATCCAGATGGTGAGATCACCCTGTCCTTGTTCAAAGTTCCATTTCCAAGTGTGAGATGACAACCAGGGAGCAGGGCTAGTCCAGATCAGGGTGATGCCACAGTCCAACCTCAGGGCTACCAGGGGGCACATGATTCATAATCTAACTTCAGGAGGGACTCAGCCATGTTCTTCCTTTCTAGATATTCTCAGATATTAAAATGTGTTGACACCAATAATTAGTACTTATTTTCTTATTAATGTCCCAGAGCAGTGCAAATGGTTAATGTGCATGGTTGTTAACCAAAAGGTTGGAGGTTCAAATTCACCCAGTGGTGCCTTGGAAGCAAGGTCTAGTGATCTACTTCTGAAAAATCAGCATTGAAAACCTTTGGAACAGCTCTAGTCTGACACACATGGGATTGCCATGAATTGAGTCAACTTGACAGTAAGTGGGCTTTTCTCACTGACATACCTCTTTCTAACAAAGAAGGCAATTTAAGTTGGAAGAGGACACATTTTCTTCATGGAATAATTACCTATATCAATTTGGGATTTTAAAAATATGTTGACTAGGAGACATTTTCTCTCTTGAATTGTTTCTTATTCAAAAAGAAAAAAGAAAAAGGTGCCTAGTGTTGGAGGGACTCCTGGGGAGAAGCTGAGGCCAGAGGAAAAATTGAACCCCAACCAAGAGGCTGCCTCATCTCAAGAAACTGTGCTCCATAGGGTTTTTAATGGTTGGTTTCTAAGAAGCAGAACACCAGGCCTTTCTTCTGAAGAGCGTCTGAGTTGATTTGAATCTTCAATATTTGGGTTAGCAGCTGAGCATGTTAACCATTTTCTCCACCCAGGGACTACACTTATAATAATAGCTGTTTCTAGTGAGCATTTTTTGTATGTGCGGCAAGTTCATGCTTTCTTGTTCAATCTTCCAATAGTTCTGAAAAATGCTCTGACCTCATAGCTGAGGTCCTTGGCCTATGCATGGCAATTTTGGCTGAAGCTACCAGATCTTGATGGGTTTAAAGTCAAAGGAGAAAAATAAGAAAATTATGGTGGCAATCTTTTCTCCCTGGCTCTTTAAACATTCTCATAAATGTAGTGACTTTGAATGTCCACACAGGGTAGGGGTGGACAGCCTAAGAACCACAAGGAGGCCATTTTGAATAGGAGAACATCATGCTAGGAGCTGGGATACCTGAGTTTGGTCCCAGCACTGCCCTTGCCCTCCTTCTGTGACCTTAGGGAACATGGATCTTCAGCTAAAATCAATTTGTATTGGTCCTTCTCTAATTCACAGGAAAAGAAAAGATAATGAAATGGCAGATTAAATGTCTCAGCAAAGGCTGTTTCCTTTACTCATTATGATTGATTACTTGGTTGTGAGTCTCAGACCTGTGTTTGGATCCAATTCTGCCACTTACTAGCTTCATGGCTTTTGGTGAGTTATTTAACTAACCTCTCTCCATCTCAATCTTCTACTCTGCAACACAGGGATGAAAAAACCTTTCTCAGAGAGTGGGTGCAAAGACAAAATGACATCAAGCACATAAAGTAATATTACTATTTGTATTTTTGAATCACTTGTGCTTGTAATGACTCAACTGCTAGGGTTATCCAAGTAACAAAATTAAAAATAAATCACAGCGGAATTCCGGCAAGATGGC